AGAAAGAAACAAACAGAGAAAGAAAGGCGGGGAGGAATGAATTGAAGAAATGAGGAAAGGAAGAAAAGGTAAGATGAAGGTATTAAATAAAGACGGATGGGAAGAAACAAGAAAGAAAGGAATGGCAAATGAAAGAAAAGAGAAGGAAAAAAGGAAGCAAATAATAAAAAAAGGAAGAAAAGGAAAGAAAAAAGTAGAAAAAGTAAAAAGGGAGAATTAAAGCTGAAACGAAAGGAGGAATAAAAAGGAGGCGAAAAAGAAAAAAAACATAAATAAAATGAAAGAAAGGAAAAAAGATAAAAATGAGAAAGGCAAAAAGAAGGAACATAAGAATAAAATAGAAGGAATGAAGAAAAGAAAAAGAAAGTTGGAAAGAATAAATAAAATGAGATAAAGAAAGAAAGAAAATAGAAAGATTGAAAAAGAAAAAGAAGGAAACAACGATAGTGAAAAGAAAGAGAGAAAGAATAAATAAAACCGCGAGAAAGAAAGAAAGAAAGAAAGAAAGAAAGAAAGAATAAAGAAAACCGCGAGAAAGAAAGAAAGAATAAAGAAAACCGCGAGAAAGAAAGAAAGAAAGAAAGAAAGAAAGAAATTAAAAAAATAAGAGAAAAGATAAAAGAAAAATGAAGATGAAATAAAACGGAAGAAAGAAAATAAAGAAAAAAACGTAAAAAATGAAAAGGCACAAATTAAAGAAAAAAAAAGGAAAGAGAAATACAAAGAAGGAAAGAGAAAATAAAAATGGCGGTAAAAAAGGGAGAAAAATGAAAATGTAAGAGAGAAAGAATAAATAAAAATGGAAGGAAGAAAACGAAAAAGAGTGAAAGGAAGGAAGGAAGGAAGGAAGGAAGGAAATGAATGGAACGATAAGAAAATAATATCAGAAAATAATGAAAAAGAAAGAAGAATGATGTTAATGAGTCGCAGGTGTCGAGAGAGGGGGGAGGAATGAAAGATGAAAGAGAGAAATATGAATTATAATTATATTATACGAGATCCTTGGATGAAGACTGCAACAAAATTCGATAGAATTTAAAAGAGAAGAAGAATGATAAGAACACGAAAAAGAAGAGTTAAGAAAAAAAAAAACTAGGAAAGAAATTCGAAAAGAATTATTTTGAAAATAAACGGCGCCCCTCTGACATTCTTAAAAGAAAAACCGTTCGAAAAATAATGCGCGACTCTTCTGAAGATGGAAAAGGATGTTTTATACAATTAAAAGAGTGACAGGGAGAGAGAGAGAGAGAGAGAGAATGACGAATAATAATAATAATAATAAAAATTATAATAATAAATAATAATAATAAATAATAATAATAATAAATAAATAATAATAATAAATAATAATATTAATAATAAGAAGAAATAATAATAATAATGATAAAAAATAATAATAAATAAAACATAATAATAATAATAATAAATAATAATAATAAATAATAATAATAAAAAATAAATAAATAATAATAATAATAATAATAAAGAATAATAAATAATAATAATAATAAATAATAAATAAATAATAATATTAATAATAATAAATAATAATAAATAATAATAATAAATAATAAATAAATAATAATATTAATAATAATAAATAATAATAAATAATAATAATAAATAATAAATAAATAATAATATTAATAATAATAAATAATAATAAATAATAATAATAATAATAAATAAATAAATATTAATAATAATAAATAATAATAATAAATAATAAATAAATAATAATATTAATAATAATAAATAATAATAAATAATAATAATAAATAATAAATAAATAATAATATTAATAATAATAAATAATAATAAATAATAATAATAAATAATAAATAAATAATAGTATTAATAATGATAAATAATAATAAATAATAATAATAAATAATAAATAAATAATAGTATTAATAATGATAAATAATAATAAATAATAATAATAAATAATAAGTAAATAATAATATTAATAATAATAAATAATAATAATAATAATAAATAATAATAATAAATAATAAATAAATAATAATATTAATAATAATAAATAATAATAAATAATAATAATAAATAATAAATAAATAATAGTATTAATAATGATAAATAATAATAAATAATAATAATAAATAATAAATAAATAATAGTATTAATAATGATAAATAATAATAAATAATAATAATAAATAATAAGTAAATAATAATATTAATAATAATAAATAATAATAATAATAATAATAAATAATTATAATAATCATAGATTTAATTTATGTTGCACATAATCAATGCTTGCTAGACACAAACTGAAAAATTGTGTTGACTCCAAACGCAGATTCTGTGATAAATCCTCAGAAACACTTGGCCATCTTTTATCAGATTGAACGGTGTTAGAAGCTCACTGGATATGAAATTCGCCATGACTGTGTTGGCCAATATCTGCATTGGCAAATAAGCAACTTTTTCCGGGGAGGAAAATGCAAGAAACCAAGACCCGGTTACAGAGATAGGATGACTATACTCACAAACAGAACAATCAAAGCTAATCGCCCAGGCAGGAATGTATATTACTACTACTACCACTACTACTACTACTACTACTACTAATAATAATAATAATAAGGAAACCGCAAGAAATTGTTATGACCACCACCCAGACCCTGTTACAGTGATAGGACCTGTAACAATTTTATGGGACTTTACAATACACACAGACAAAACAATCAAAACTAATAGTCTAGACATTGTTATTAGAGACTGCAAAGAAAAAAAATTGCCTCCTTATTGATATGGCAGTCCCTGCAGACTGCAGTGTATCTTTGAAAATCTTGAAAAATCTATCAAAATACAAGGACCTTGAAATCGAAATCTCAAAAATGTGGTACATGAGAACAACAACCCCTGTTGTAGTTGAGGCTTTCGGATTGATTGGAAAAGATTCCAGTAGACTCATTGAAGGGATTCCTGGAAGCCCATGCCTTAAAGAAATACAAAACAATTGTTCTCACGAGTACATCCCACACCTTCCGAAGGGTTTTATCTATGTAAAATATGTGTGTTGTTGTTGTTGTTTTTCTTTGTTCTTTTTTAATTGATCAGTGGAAAATGTCATGACGCCATTTCTGACCCGTATGTCTCTGGGCGGGACCCGGAAAGAAATGCGTACACACCAGAAAACAAAGGAAATAACAACAACTATAATAATAATAATAATAATAATAACTGAAGGGATTCCTGGAAGTCCATGCCTCAAGGAGATACAAAAAATTGTTCTGACAAGTACAGCCCACACCTTACGAAGGGCTTTATCTATGTAATTTTTTTTTTTTTTTGTCAGTGGAAAGTGTCATGATGCCATTTTCTAACCTTAGGTCCCTGGGCGGGACCCGGAAAGAAATGAGTACACACCAGAAATCAAAGAAAATAATAATAATAATAATAATAATAATAATAATAATAATAAAAGATTTAAACTTAACTTGAAAAAGATATACTGTCGAAATATTGCTAAACATTATTAAACACAGTTTTTTTTTTTTATTTAAATCGCAATCTTTTTTAACTTGTAAAATATTGGAAGAATTACGACAATCATTTTGATTGTTTAATAATAATAATAATAATAATAATAATAATAATAATAATAATATCCCTTCGAACGTAAAACCCTTTATTTAATCTACGAGGTTACGTTCGAATCTCTCCGAGGCTTGCCTGGATTGACAAGCATCTGAACATGGCCGAAGGATACAACCGCTGAAACGGTGTGATAATAACAGAAAAGAAAGAGAAGGCACTGCGTGTGTACTGTAGGTTTTACGAAACATCATCATCGAGCCCAACTTCTCAACAGAAAGTCTGTCTAATTCACTCCACAAACATCCCTTCTCCCGGTCAAACTACAGCCGATACCCTGCAACTTAAAAGCGCGTTTTGATCGCTGACACGTAGCCGTTAATTCCAATAGGGAATCCTTCAACCTTGGCCATTGATGTCAGTCCCCTCATTCACTGGTCCCATCTATAGCAATGGAGCCAAGTCTATATTTTTGTGCTAGATGGCCGTCGACAATCGAAGATGGCTCATCTTACGTTTTAATCTATCTGCGTATCTAACCACCCTCCCCAGAAAAAGCATGGTGGGGGAAAACGATAACCGTGTGACAGGTAGTATTGAGTTGCATGGCACCAACAACACTCGTAGAATGACTTGGCATAAATTTTACAAGTACATTTATGTAGAGACTTACGGCCATATCACGTTGAAATACCGGTTCTCGTACGATGACCGAAGTTAAGCAACGACGTTGGGTCACCGCTTGGGAATGGGCAGATGGTGGATGGCATAACGGCTTGAAATTGGAAATAGGTGTTAAAATACATCTTTCATTTTACACACACACACACACACACACACACACACACATATATATATATATATATATATATATATATATATATATATATATATATATATATATATATATATATGTTCCAGCATTTTTCTAGTAATGGGCTAGCACTCATAGCAAGGCAGTCAAGCTACTAAAAAGATTTAAGGTAACTGTGTTCAATTTTATATTTATATACACTGTATGTCAGATAGCGAGAGATATAATCCATAAATATAATATACTTTATATATATATATATATATATATATATATATATATATATATATATATATATATATATATATATTTAGGCACAATCCTTCCTTTATGCATGTTTCATTAAAAAACGACAGACAAGGTACTACGGTTAAGCTTTTTATTTAATTTTTTCTTGTGTTCGGATAAGAGCTTTCATTTCTGGACAAAGGTGTATAAGAATTGTCCAAATGTTTTATATTTGAGCGCTTTTGGGCTATACCTTTAGCCATTATCAAGGATGATTTTAATGAAACATGCATATATATATATATATATATATATATATATATATATATATATATATATATATATTATGAAATGGACAAAGTCCGCACAATTATTTAAAAACACATTTTATGTTTATACATTCTTTTTTATAGATAAAATTATTTAAGTAAAAAATACTCTGTTCGATTCCTGTTGAGGACGCATATTTTCTGTGAAATTTTCTCGGATATTCAGGCCAGTAAATGTTGTTAATACTGTTTATTATAAAACAGAGTATTTACTTAAATATTTATATCTATAAAAGATAAAAAAGATTGTATAAACATAAAATGTTTTTAATTAAATATATATATATATATATATATATATATATATATATATATATTATATATCTTATATATTCCAAGATAAAGAATGAGATAGATAGATAGATAGATAGATAGATAGATAGATAGATAGATAGGGAACATACTTACATAGATATGAATTGACTTAGATAGATAGATAGATAGATAGATAGATAGATAGATAGATAGATAGATAGATAGATACGAACAGGCTGAGATATATAGATTTATAGAGACGAACAGAATGAGATAGATAGATATGAACAAAGATAGATAGATAGATAGATAGATAGATAGATAGATAGATAGATAGATAGGGAACATACTTACATAGATATGAATTGACTCAGATAGATAGATAGATAGATAGATAGATAGATAGATAGATAGATAGATAGGGAACATACTTACATAGATATGAATTGACTTAGATAGATAGATAGATAGATAGATAGATAGATAGATAGATAGATACGAACAGGCTGAGATATATAGATTTATAGAGACGAACAGAATGAGATAGATAGATATGAACATAGATAGATAGATAGATAGATAGATAGATAAATAGATAGATAGATAGATAGATAGTGAACACACGGAGATAGATAGATAGATAGATAGATAGATAGATAGATAGATAGATAGATAGATAGATAGAAATAAAGGAAGAAAGAAATTGAAATGGGAAATAGATCGATTGATCAATCGATAGGTATGCAAAGACTAAGAAAGATATATAGAAGGATAGATATATACATACATATGTAGACATGCAAAGAGATAGATAGATAGATAGATAGATAGATAGATAGATAGATAGATAGATAGATAGATAGATGTTACTAAAAAGAAAATGAAAGCGTGAGCGCTGAATAAATGGTCAGTACATTGAGAAAAATACAATTTAATTTGAAAAAAATACTACATTTCAAACCAACTTTTATTGAGATCGAAATTTAAAAAAAAAATGAGAGCTGGTTTAGAATACGCGCATGCGCAGTCCTATGTGTTTGTGCCTATGCATTTGCACTTGTACCGCGCGCCACTCGCGGGACACAGTTTGCGCATGTCTCCTTGAAAGATGCAGTAAGTGTGACGAAATACTGATTTGCCAACAAGCAATAAATCTAGCACGAGAAAAATGGCGGATCAATAAATTAAAGAAAGTGTAAACAATTTACAACACAAGCAGTAAAATCCGACATTTGAGCAACTGATGAATTAATATCGAGGCGTTTTTTTTTTTTTCAAATAAAATGATTAATAAATAATTCATTAATTCAAAAAAGTCTTTGAAATATTCACTGCCCAAAGTTAATTTCAATTCTTTCTTTTTCTGCGAAAAATATTACGGCTCCAAATTAATTAGATATTTTATTTAATATAATCTAATTAATTTTATCAAAAAAGATATTACACACACACACACACACACACACACACATATATATATATATATATATATATATATATATATATATATATATACGTGTAAAATGTATTGTCGAAACATAATTGCTATTATGTAGAAATTTTTAACATGTTTTTTGTTTTAATTTCCCTAAAATTATATATATATATATATATATATATATATATCTGTGTGTGTGTATTTCCTTTAAGGCAAATACCTTGCACCCTCCCCTAACAACTGTCTCGTGTCTTTCGTCTGACTAAAGCATTGAAATAGATAAATTCTTTATTATTGTTTTATTTTATTTTATTTTATTTTTTAGCTTTCACAGTTAAGTTTCTATTTCTGACATGAACTCAGTCTACACCGGGGTTGATGAGACAGACGACTTATAATTTTCTTTTGCCGAAATAAGCTTACTCCCCATATGAGGGGATTTGGGATTTTATTGTTTGTTATTTGCTCTGTTATAATAAATACATTGAGCTATTTAGTGGATCAGTTTTAATATTCTATATTACTTGATTCACTTATTACCTTTTTTTATATATATATATATATATATATATATATATATATATATATATATATATATATATATATGTGTATGTGTATATGTATATATGTGTGTGTGTGTGTGCATGTGTATGTGCGTGTGTTACCAGGTGTCCCAGGTGTTCAATTCCCTTATCAGTTTGAATATTTATAATGATTTATTTAATTTTAATATTTAATTTAAAGCAATAATCTTCTTTGTAAGTCAGCAAACATTAATATTACTTAATGATAGATATTAATCTTGTTTGCAGGTCAATAAACACTGCATTTATTATCATTTAATAAGTACATTTTTCGTAATGGCCAGCAAGCTTGTCTTGCTAGATCAATTACATCTGAATAGTAAGTTGGACCTTTAGTCGGTGCTTCATACATTCGGCCTTGTGCCACATCCGAGCAAACCTTTGTAAATTGCTCTCTCTCTCTCTCTCTCTCTCTCTCTCTCTCTCTCTCAAAGACACACACCCTCTCTCACAGACACACGCACACACACACACACACACACTCTCTCTCTCTCTCTCTCTTTCTGGTTTCCCGATCGAACACTTTAGATAAAATTTAATTTCTAAAAAAAGTGAGCATTTGCTGCTATTAACACATCGCTCTTCATTTACGAATTGAGCCCTCTTAGCTACGGGCGTTTGTATATATCTCGTATATAATACGTTAAAATTTTCCTTTTTCCGATAGCTTAGGGTAGAATCTCATTGAAGCCAATTCGCTGATCCCGGCTAGAAGCAATTGGCCGTCTAGCCACACTGATGAGCTGTGATACAGCGAATTAGGCTTGTATGTGGATGACCACACACACACACACACACACACACACACACACACATATATATATATATATATATATATATATATATATATATATATATAAGGAGTCAACACTCCGAGGCGACGATTGCGTCTCGCATGAAACAGCCTGTATTGACTTCAATGTTCACTTTTATATTTATATTTACACACGCTCTCTCTCTGATATTGAGGACTTTATCCCATAAGATAACACAACTTAAAACTATATTTCTTCATATATATATATATATATATATATATATATATATGTGTGTGTGTATGTGTGTGTGTGTGTGTGTGTGTAGAGAGAGAGAGAGAAAGAGAGAGAGCGATGTGTGGATATAAACTAAATAATGAGATATTAGCAACTGTATGTGTGCGATTGCAGGTAAGAAAATAAGTATTGACTTAATTCAAAATGTAAACAAAAGTGATCACTGTAGCTAAACAGAGCTATCATGTGTATTAATAAATACAAATATATCTAAGTTTATCGTGCAATTCGGAAGTTCATGCATCCCCAACACGTCAGGCACAAATGGTAAACGTAGGTATATATGTATTTATTCATCGATAGTCTATAGTTTAGAATCTGGTCCGGATTTCTGTCCCGGCTTTAAGCGATCGGATGTTTAGCTACACTGATGAGCTGTGAAACAGTCTGTCTGTGGATGACGATACATGCATATATATATATATATATATATATATATATATATATATATATATATATATATATATATATATTATGAAATGGACAAAGTCCGACAATTATTTTAAGACATTTTTATGTTATACATTCTTTTTATAGATACAAATATTTAAGTAAATGTGCTGTTTATAATAAACAGTATTAAACAACATTTACCGGCCTGAATGTCCGAGAAATTTTCACATAAAATATTCGTCCTCCGACAGGATTCGAACCTGTATCCTATACAGAACCGTCATATAGCCTGATGTGCCTTTAACCGATTTGGCCACGGAGGAGCGTTCGGTTAGCAAGGTCGAATTTACTGTATTTACTGTCAGAGGATGAATATTTTCTGTGAAAATTTCTCGGACATTCAGGCCGGTAAATGTTGTTTATTTATATATATATATATATATATATATATATATATATATATATATATATATATATATATATATATATAGCATCACCAAGCGCTGCCACAGCTGTTGCTCATTACCAAAGATTCAAGGTAATTTTTCGTAGGAGTCCCTTAAGCGGGTCTTTCAAAAAGATCAAACGGGCAACATGCAGCCCGTGGTATCCAGTTTCCCCATGACTAAGATAGAGTAAATTTTAAATTGATTTTTTTTAATCCGACTTTACTTAATATTTTTATAAAGGTTATTTTGGTTACATATGTTTTAGTTAACATCCCTAATATTATTCCATTTTTTCACCGTTTACAGATTATTAAACCAAACACGTGTTCTTTCATTAAATATACCAGACAAAGAAGATTTAATCAACCTTCTATTTAGTGCAAGGGTCGGCAATCTACGGCCCGCGGGCCAGATCCGGCCCAACAAGGGAATTTGACCCTGATTACCAATGACTCTATTTTTAACATGAGAGACGACCTTCAAATGAAATTTGTTATGTCATTTTCCATAGAATGTCTACACATCTCGGTGCACTAAAAATATTAGACTATCTGCCAGTTATCTTTCATGAGACTTATTTTACCAAGTTGCGTTGCCTACGTTTAATGTCAAATAATGGATACATATTTGTTATGACACTTGGCTACATTAAAAGATAACAGAAGCGAAAGGAACGATAAAGTGAAAGAGGCCAGGGAGGGACTGACATGCGAGGTAGCAGAAATCTAAAGACAGTTAAACATACGCGCATTATACATACATGCCTCATGAATGTGTGAATAATACCGCATGGGTACGTACGTAAGTGTATATGTTTGCAACTATTTGTACTCGTATGTATGGGTATATGTCCTTCGTTTTTGTTTGATGTGTGTGGTTCGTTTGTGGAACA